ATTTATAATTTCCTCATGAGTTGGATAGAATGAGTAAGCAACAGTCGGATTCACGGTAGGCTCTTCAGAGGCCTGTGCCGTGGGTTTCCTCTTCCAAGGGTGTGAATCCTTTGAACTAAGTAGTCTACCACGCTTATGTGTAGGGGCAGATGACATAGATTGCCAAAGTTGACGTCTCGGGCCTCCAGGAAGGAAGTCAGTCGAACATTCATAGCTGGAATATGTGATCTTGTCATTCACACTAAATCAGTGAAAGCATCTCACATGCTCTGAGTTATGCTTTGAAGATATAATATGCCCTGCATTTTAGTTTCAAACTGAGCGGTGCGGGGATCTAAATGAGACAAAGTGGGAGTCGTCCACGATAATTCGCATCGTTCTTATCTCCCTTTAACGACATGAAGACTGTCTCATAAAAGTGATAATCTATGAAACAAGCAGTAAATATATCATCTGTCAAAGGTTCTAAGTAATGAATGATCAAAGGAGAATCATATCCGACATAGATTCCCATCATTTGCTGATGCATTTTTGCACGTAAGGGTGGCGAAATAGGCACATAAACCACACAACCAAAAACGCACAGTTGCAATATGTCGGGTTTGTATCCATTAACCAACTGAAGCGCGCTATATGGTTGAGTCGCAATAGGCCTTAGTTGAACCAACATGGCTGGGTGTATTATTGCATAGCCCTAAGCAACGATCGAGAGCTTGGTACGTATGACCAACGATTGAGCAATCATTTGTAAGCGCTTAATGAATGGCTCTGCTGGGCTGTTTTGGGTGTGAACATAGGGTACTAGATGTTCAACTTCAAACCCAACCGACATGCAATAGTCATCAAAAGTTTTAGATGTGAATTCTCCAACATTAGCCAATTAAATGGATTTGATTGGATAATCAGGGTGGTGAACCCTGAGCTTGTTAATTTAAGCCACCAGAGTGGAGAAGACAGTGTTCTTTGTGCACAACAAGCACACTTGTGACCAACGTGTGGGAGCGTCAACCAATACCATAAATTATCTAAATGGTCTGCAGGGAGGTTGAATCGGTCCACAAATGTTCCCCTGAATCCTTTGTAGAAAAATAGGAGGATTCGGACGAATCTTATCATAAGAAGGCTTAATAATAAGCTTTCCTATAAAGCGGGTTTGATATGCGATTTCTTGAATCGAACCTAAACTTCGGGTTAGTGGATGCTCATGTAATGATTTGAGGACACTGCGCATCACTGTTCGTCCAGGTGTCCCAAACAATCATGCCAAAATGTAATTTCGTGTGCGGTCCCAGAGGTAGGGCCAGCCACATAGTGGCTTTCTATAGGGCTTATGGTCATAGTATACATACCACTTAGGATATACTCCATTTTCTCTAGAATACGCTTCTGGCCATATTCGTAGGAAGTTATGGATAGAAATTCAACTCCATTTTCTACATAGGTTTCAGCATGGTAATTATTATCTCTAATGTCCTTGAAACTCAACAACGTTCTTCCAGAACGTGGAAAATAAAGTGCCTCATTAATGGTCAAAATTGTACCATTGGACAACATCTTACTGTATCCTTCGATCAGGTTGAATGGGCCTGAGAGGGTTGTCAGATGTGTATTCTTAGGTATGAAGTTAGTGAAATAGATGTGTTCACGCAAAACGATGTGTGTGGTTACACTATCTGCCAGACAACTAACTTCCCCACTAGTCATACCTAGGATGAAAATTAATTTGAATTGGTCACATGCATAAAAGTTCTAAAAACAAATATCCATTCAAAGTAAATTAAGTATTTAAGCATGGTAATTAATTAAAAACTTAATATCCAAAAAACAAATCACTAACAAATAATCCAAATATAAAGGAAATTGTTCAAAATTAAACCAAAAAACAAGGGAGGGTTCAACCACTAGGTGGAATTCGGCCCTATTGTTTAAATTTCAACTAGAAAAATAGTCTAAGATTCTAATCTTCTATAGGGGTAACAACCTCTTGAAGGTCGGAAACCTCTATCTTGGTACTCTCCGGTTCATCCACTTGCATTAAGTTTGAATCAAACTTCTTACAACTAGAATGATATTCAGCTACAACCTTCTGGGAAGCTCGGCAAACACGAGACCAATGGTCCTTTGAACCACAACGCTAACACATATCCACATCCATGGTTTCAGGTGCTTTGCCTTTATGCTTGACGTTTGGGGCCTTGGGAGCAAGGTTGTGGTGCTTTTGAGCTCGGTTTCCTCCCTTAGATGGGCCTTGGCTTCATTGACCTTGACGGGTTGCCTTCTGGCCATTCCTACCACGCCTATTTTGATATTTTGGGCTTTTGTTTGTGCTATAATGTGTTTTAGGCACAACAGTCGCCCCCAGTAGGTAGAGCTTGACGATTTTTCATCAACATCTGATTCTGTTTTTCAATGAGGAGCAAAGCAGAGATCAAATCTGAGAACTTAGTGAACTTCTGAGCCCTATATTGTTGCTACAAGACAATATTAGTAGAAGAGAAGGTCGAATAGGTCTTCTCTAGGAGATCATCTTCGTTCAAGGTCTTGTTACAGAATTTGAGAAGTGATCGGATTCGACAAACTTCAAAATTATATTCATTCACAGACTTAATGTCTTGGAAGCGCAAACGTTGTAAGTCATGTCTTGCTTCAGGCAAGAAGATGTCTTTTTGGCAATCAAAGCAATCAGCCAAAGCGACCTAGAGTGCTCGTGGATCCTCCTCAGCAAGGTACTCGGTTTGTAGTGCGTCATGAATATGTCTTCGGATGAAGATCATGACAGTGGCTTTCTCAACTTCGCCAACCTGGTTGTCTGTCTCATCTTCAATGGCGGGACGTAAGTTCTCTGCAGTGAGGTGGAACTTCACATCTTGGACCCACTTAAGGTAGTTTCTTCCAGAGACCTTTAAAGCGGTGAAGTCGAGTTTGTTCAAATTCGACATGTTCCTATCACAAAATAGATAAACAAGATGTGGTTAATGTAATGGAGAAAAATATCAATCCATTCACATAGGAGTAGAACATTTAGGTTCTAATAGACATGTATTGATTTAAATTTGCATGAAAAAACTTCGAGTTTTCATGGGTGGTGTTTGTAAGGAAAACTTCAAGTTTTCAAACAAGGCATGTTTCTAGAAACTTCAGGTTTCGAAATAATTATGAACTTCAGGTTTATATGTTCCTACAGACAAACGCAAATATATATACAGAAATATGCAACAATAAATTATGCAAATAGAACTTTAGTTCTATATTCATAATTGAATTAATTATTTGGATTTCGGGCCAAATTTAAAGTATGGGTGAAAAAATTATAAAACCCAAATTGTCTAAAAATAAACAATTAAGCTCAGGGCCCAAGCTGAGCAAATTAAAATCGTGTAGCCCAGGCCCAAAAAAAAAAAGGCGAGGTTAAACAGGTATGGGTTGGATCCAAGAGAGCCCATGAAAAAGGGCACGGATTTGGTAAGACGCGGTGCAGTGCATTGATTCTTTAGCTGTAGGCTAGGATCTGGTGCAACATCGTGCATCGGGACATCGAAGCCACGTGGGCTGGTGTCGCAAGTTGGGTCGAGACAAGGCAGGGCTAGTGCATTCGAACCCAAAAAACAACTTTGTTTTTTTTTTTTTTCAATTTAGGCCGAGTGTGGGGTCAAGTTGGGTTGCAGTAGCGAGCCCGAAAAAAAAAATTTGTTTTTTTTTTTTTCAGCCCGAGTCAATGCCATGCCCAAAAAACTAGGGTCGGGCTTGGACTAAGAAATCCTATTAGAGGTAGGGGTTTTCGCCGGAGAAGATGACCAGCCCCGCCACTGCAGGTGGCCAAATCTTGGACAGGAAGACTCGGGGGTACCCTTGGGTGTTTTCAACCATGATTACGGACGAAGATTGTGAAATCTCAACGATTCAAACAAAAACCATAGAAATTAAAGGATTTCAAAAAATTCGATGAGATTCGAAGAAATCTCAGTAAATCTACGTTGGTGGACGAGCTACAGGCTGTCAGGACGGTGACCTAAGGTCATGGTTGGGCTGCAGGCCCACCTATTATGGTGGAGACACCATTGATGACGTCGGGTTTGTTTATGGGTTTCAGACCAGGAGCCCATGGCTCCTACTTCGTGGACACATGGCTTGGCTCAGCCACATAGGCTACAGGCCTAGGCTAGTGACTCGGGTTTGCGGCTCAAGTCATGGGTTAGAAGAACCCTAAAAGTTTTCGATTTTTTTTTCTATTTCAATTAATTCAAGGCATGTTTAATATATAGTTTAATGAATAAACATATATTTGATACAATTCATGGCAATATCAAATTCACATAATTCAACAACTAGCATATGGGCACACACAAAGTGTGTAAGAAAATTTTTTATTTTTTATTTTGAAATAGGAGAGAGGAAGAGAGTGATAGAGAATGCCGAAGTGAGATTATTTTTTTTTAATTAGAGATATGTTAAAATTACATGTAGGTAAGGTTTTGAAAAAAAAAAAAACAATAAAATTTGGTTGTGTGGTAATTTTACTTTTTTGCTCCATATTTCTTATTCATGTTCTGTTTTAATTAGAGGGTTAAAATGGTAATTTTATATGATTTTAGTTGACAATGAGTGTTTTATTAATTAGTAGAGATTATGGATATACTGCATACACAATTTATCTAGAATCTAAAATTCGAAAAACGGAAAGTTAGGTCATGCATTATGGTGAATGTTCATGCTATGAGGGCTGCAACAATATCGAGATAAAAACCATTGTTTTAAAAGAACCTGATTGCATGATAATATTGGTGAACTGGTTTGATGCGGAAAGCTTCCACGTTAGATTCCTAAGCACAGCGGTAGGAGCATGTTGATTAACATTTCTAAGCGCAGCGGTAGGAGCACAATTTATCTAGAAGTTTACAAGAAGATTAACATTTTCTTGGGCGGAAACATTTAACATTTTAACCGCAAGTAGAACTGGGGGTGTCACGTGCCAAACCTAACATTCTTCATTGTTCTCAATTCTGTCTCTCCTTTAACGGTTGTTGTTGGTCTGATCAACGACTAATCTATAATCCGCTGGTAAATAATATGCTGCCACTCCTTCTTGTTCAAATTCTCGAGACACAGAGTGATTGCGGCGGTGATGGCTGTGGCGGCGGTGTTTTTGGTGGCAGTGCTCCCCTGAATCTGAATTGGTCTCAGGTCAATCAAATTGTCAAAAGAGAATGGAGGGATCGTCATCCTCTTCATCCTCTTCCGCTATTTTTTACGACTTTCTCGATCGAATGCGAAACCCTGCTTCCCTCGATCTCGTCCGATCTATCAAAAGGTACTCCCATAACTCAAACCCTAATCGATGAAATAGAATCGAATCGAATCGAATGGATATTTAATCTGTTTGGTTTGATATTTGTTTGCCAGTTTTATCGTTTCCTTTTCGTTTTACGCGGCCAACCCTGAAAGTGATGGCAAAAAGGTTCAAGAGTTCTACGCAACCATGGAAGATAATATTAGGGATCATCCTTTGTGGGCAGGTGCCACTGATCAGGAAGTCGATTGTGCAATGGAGGTACTCTCCTCCTCTCTCCCTGTTTGTTTCAATTCAAACATGGTGGACGAATTTGGTTTAGTCTATGTTGGTGTTCTTAAGAATTTCAAAATTCGCTTCACTTGAAAGTTAATTTCGCTTTTCATCGCATCCCTTGTGTTCACAATAGTTTAAGCTTTCCGACTAACAATCGTATTAAAGAAAGGCACTATAGCACGTACCACAAAATTATTTTGTTTATATGTGGGATACTCAGCTTGGGGAAAGGCTTTGTTGTTGCTGTTGTTGGGATACTCAGCTTGGGGTGTGTTTGTCTATGATGGCTACTGCAGGGTTTGGAGAAATATGTCATGACAAAGTTGTTTTCCCGTACCTTTGCTTCTTCACCCGAGGATGCAAAGATTGACCTTGAAACCTCGCACAAAATACACTTGCTGCAGACCTTCTTGAAGCCAGAGCATCTGGATATTCCAGTAGTTCTGCGCAATGAAGCTTCATGGCTGGTACGTGTACCGCATTTGCACTGATTGTTGGGAGTGCAGATTACTGCAGGCACTGCATTCCTTTTTAGTGCTTATTTAGTTCCATTTGATATGCTAATGGATTGTTCTGTATATTGTTTGTCATTTTAGATTTAATGCTCATAGTTTCATGGTTATCCTATTATCTCCGTTATACGAAGCATTGTAGTAGAGGTCATTTTGTTTAAAGATGTTGATTTCCAGCTGAATACTTGGTTGCTCTTAAATAAGTAAATGAACCATAAAAGACATGTCATTTGCACATTTTTACTTTCATCTTAATGATTATATTTGCTTGAATAATGAATCAGGTTTCGTTTAGTAATCTTTGGCAGTTCAGGATTGAACTATACCCCTTGTGGTTTGCCGTTTGAGTGATTGTGACTTCAGTAGACACATTTTCTTAGAAATAGTAGTCCTTAATTGCAATTCATTTTCCAGCAGAGGTGTGTTAATTCTCTTTATTAATCACAAGCACCAAACAGCAGCCTTGTTGCCCTGCCTGACACACAACCAAACCAAAATGTAAATGAATGTGCATAGCATCAGACTAAAAAATTCAAGCTAAATACCTGTATATATTTGAAGTTTAGGTTCTTTAAATCATAACAGTGCCTTTTGATTTCAGCCATACTCGATATTGATATAAAAGGAATTTCTGCTTCAGCTAATTCCTTTTGTTTTTCCATTGGAGGGGAATGTGTAGTTTGAGAGACAATAAATACTCTGAAAATAACTTATTTAGTAGAGATAATTGCATAGAATCTTGGATACCATCCTCCTTCCCCTTGAATGGATTGGTTTTATGAAAATGAATGGTCATCCAGATAACTATATTCTTGAAGATCTTTTATAACTGCATTACTCTGCTTCTCTCTTTTCCTTTTATTATCAAATATCAATTTAGACTCGTATATTTCTTTTTATTTGATATAACAATATTGCACTTATTCCTTGTAAGAACTAAAGGACTAGCCTCAAATTCTCTCTTTTCTGTTCAGCTTGCAGAAAAAGAAATGCAGAAAATCAATGCCTTCAAAGCCCCTCGTGAAAAGCTTCTCTGTATTATGAATTGTTGCAAGGTCATTAACAATCTGTTGCTGAATGCATCAATGTCAGAAAATCATGTATTAGCAGGAGCTGATGACTTCCTTCCTGTCCTTATATATGTCATGATCAAGGCAAGCTTTCCTTGGTAATAAGCCATTCTGCAATCATGCCAGTTCTGATTTTTCAAATTTTAACAGTGTGAGATCACATCATACATGCCTGAAAGATTTTAGGTTTTATTACCTCATTTGTTTGGTCCTGGAGTGTGTGTTAAATGTTGATTTTTTTCCTTACTGTTGATTGTCTTCTCAGCATCATCAGAATTTTTTAGTTGGTGACAAGGTGTCCATTTGCGTTCGCAGTTACTTTGTGTTATTTAATTAAGATGTCATATTTGATGCTGGTTGTTGATCAATCATTTTAAAGTTTTATATTTATTTCTATATGCTGCATCACTAGTTACTAATCCTTTCAGCTTTGCACTAACAGGCCAATCCTCCACAATTGCATTCCAACCTCAGATTTATTCAGTTATATCGAAGGCAGACAAAACTTGTGTCGGAAGCGGCTTATTACTTCACCAATCTTGTCTCAGCCAAAACATTTATTCTTGAGTTAAATGCTAAATCTCTTTCTATCGACGAAATCGAATTTGAAGAGAGTATGCATGCCGCAAGATTGACCAATAAAGGTACAGAAAAGGACGCCACACAAGCTTTGGAAGAAATGACAACCTCACAAGGCCAGACAGATCCTGGTTCATCAGCGGTGTTCCATTATAAAGAGAGAAGTGGTAAGGTTCAAACTATAACTCATTTTCCTACCGTATGTTTGGATGAGGAAATTTAAAGTCTCAAGGAACTTTAGACTCAATTGTTAAAAATGCACTAGAAGAAGCTTTACCAATCAACTACTAAAACAGTACATAGCTACTACTAAAATGTTGCCAGTGCACTACAAGACGCTAAACACACGACTTCCAAATGACACCCTTGAAGGAGTCATTCAAGAGTTCTCTCAAATGTATTGCATTTAGTCATTTTGAAGTCCCTCTATTTTAGTATATAACCTAACAATTTTCCCCTTAGATTCATTGACTTTAAAAGTTCCTCATCCAAACACCATAAATGCTACCTTTTCTTCAGGCCCTAGTTTTGAGGTGTTGGCCTCATTTCGGATTGGATTGGATTGCATAATTCACTAGATTCAATGTATGTTGAAGCAAGAAATGGATATCAATTTAAAATCTTGTCCAAGTAGAAGTTACAAAATGTTAGTCATGCAGGAAAGTTAGTTATACCAATCCTACCACCAAACAAGGCCGAACTGATATTGGATTACCAAGATAAGCAATTAAGGTTGTGAACGAATCACAAGCTGGTATATATATCCTCACTGAATTAGATACTATATCCAACGAACACTACCCTTGTGAATTGAACCTATGCTACCTCTAGAAAAACTATAGAACTTCGACCATTACGTTTTTTTCTTCTTTGACAACAAAACAATATGTGGCTTGTTTTATTTTTCTTTTGTATGCTCAAATAATGGGAGCTTGGGACCGTGTACTTTTAGTTGTAATATTCCAAACCAAAGTTCCATAAGTAACAGATAAATGCATCCACCATTGTGAAAATATTTTTTATCGGCTTTTGTTTCTGTTAGTTACCCTTCCAGACTCTTGACTAATGGACAAACATTCTATTGAAAGCTACAGGTTCATCAAATTATCCTTATATGGACAAAGAGGCTGGAGATTTGACAGTTGGAGATGTCGAAAGGCTGCTGAGTGCGTACAAGGAAGTGGTTACCAAGTATACCAGTCTGTGTACGGCTGTTAGAAACCTTTCTTTTTCAAGGGCTGAACCCCATGCCACTAATTTAGAAGCTAAAATTGTAGTGTCGACACAGGCGGAGGAAACAGGTAAGAATTCCGATCAAAGAGGAGGATGAAGAGGCAACTTTCAAGTTCAGTTACCATTTTTCAAAATCATGACAAGTTTTGTTAGGAACACAATGAATAAATAGTCATTTTCTTTTTCCGTTGAGCTATTTGCAGAGACAACTTTTCTCAAAATGGGGTTCACGATGGGGCAAGTTCGCAATGAACTACTTAGCGGCAAAAAATCTGCCCCCGTCCAGAAACTAACAGATGCTAACTGTACACAGAGTCAAAATTACAAATCAATGAACACCGAGTGTCATGTTGAAGTTAGATACTACGCTGGGACCATCAGTTGCCTCTGCCTTTGCTCTGCAAGCTGAGTTGGAGAAAGAAACACTCTTGTTAACTCCCTTGGCTGGTTTATGGGTGTTTTGGCTTTCCTTGCGGTATGAGCTCACACGTCTCATACAAACAAACTTTGCAGGAATCTCATCAGAGCTATGAATCCTGGCACACCTGGTTTTGCTGCCACACACCACATGTATCACAAGCCAACATCCTCTCCTGACGTAAGAAAGAACCAAAGGTCTCGAGGAGATAGGGATATATGAACTGGGAATCATTCAACCAGGGGCAATGGAGCTCACTCACGTCGCTAATCGTGGATGAGCTCACACAACCAAGCCAAATGCTTGATTTTAGAAGGAGAAATCACTCTCTTCAAATGCACAAGGCAAATATAAATTTTCATTCATCCAAGTCTTCCTCCTGCATCATTCTCCCTTTCTCGAAGAAAATTCGTCCTCGAATTTCATTTGGTCTCTTTTTTCTTTTTTTTCTTTTTTTTTTCCGTCGATCTTTTGGATGTTCAACCAAGATGTTTCACAATACCGAATTTAGCACCAAAATTTTCCAAGTTCCTATAGACCATGCACACATTAATGCTTTCTTCGTGAAAATAATCACCTTGGAATAGTGCTTCCAAATCACTTCTTCAAATGAGCCAAGAGATTTCAAATCATGTTGAAAAGTTCTTCTATCAAAGGGCTCTCCTCTCATATCTTGAGCAATGAAACTGTCCCAAAAAGGATCATGAATGCTACGGATATTAAGAGCTTGTACTCCATTATATAGTTGTCCATGGAACTCTTCAACCATATCTTCATTGCCCTCGTATCCCATTCGGCCAAGTTATCGATTACATCACTGTTTTCTATATATTCCCCTTTCGTGCCAAACTCCATGTTGGAACGTTTTTCAACCTCATTACATGCACAACAAATCTCACATGCACCATTTGGACAACGATCAAAATTTGGAGGAAGATTGAGATTTAGAAAATCGTCACCTGAAAAATCGAAGACAGTCGTTTCTAGAACCTATCTAACCTCATTTACTGGAGGCAGCAACATGCTTTAGTAAATTGTAGATATTGCTTTGTAAAAATAACGAATTGAGAAATCACTTGAGAATTTAAAAACTAGACTGGAAGGGCTTTCAAATGATATATGGCATGAAGGTCGAGAAATACTTAACCTAATCGAAAACTGACCCGCAAGAGAACTGATTTTGTTTTCGCAACAGCACTGATGCTCTATGGTGTTTTGTCGATATCTGCACACACAAAATTCGGTTTGATGCACGGTTTGTTGCGTTGAAAACTAGACTTCCACAGCTTTCGAGTGATGTATGACTCTCTAGATAAAAGTCACGGGAACTGAGTTGATTTTGAGGACGAACACAAATGATGTGCACAACGCTACCACCAGGACAAAACCAAGGGTATCGAGGAGAGGGGAATAGATAACCTGGGATTCACTCAACCAGGGGCAACGGAGTTCGCTCACGTCGCTAATCATGGATTCACTCACACGACCAAGCCAAATGCTTGATTAGGGAAGGAGAAATCACTCACTTCAATTGCACAAAGCAAAATATATTTTAATTCATTCAAATCTGTCCTTCAAGGCTTTCTAGTACAATATTTATAAGCGTTTACAAATTAATAGACCTCAGGTTTCTACAACACCTTTACAACTTCCAAAATAACTTAACAAATTCCTAAATAATTAAAATACAAAACCATTGTTATTCCAAAGCATATTAATGGTTTCAAATTGTTTTCTTCAAGGCCTGCCTCCTGCATCATTCTCCTCTTGTCAGAAAAAGCTCCTCCTCGAGTTTGCATCTTTTTAATCTTGATTTGAATTTAGGTTTTTGACCTGTCCAAGGTGTTAATTGTTTGGGCTCTCCAAATACTTGAGTATTAATAACTTGAGCCAAAGATATCTTCAAAAGAGCAAACGAAAAGTCATCACATACGGCACCGAACCAGATTTGCAAAATAGTACAATCAACGACATCAAAGCCATTGAAATCATCTTCCAACCAGGAGTTTCCTTCCTTTATTGGAAGAGGTTGAAAAACTGTAGGCTCAAGACTTCCTTGTGTAGTGGTTGATGATGTAATTTCTTGAATAAACTTAATTGGAAATACTTCTTTACTAGAAATCACCAAATACCCATCATCAGAGTAATCATCATATATTGGAGGAAAACTCCAATCAACTCGTTGGGAAGAAAATAAATGTTGTTCCAAAAGTAGATGCTTAGAATTAAATTCAAAAACCTGATTACCATTCTGGGCAACAAAACATGCACGTATTATTTCCGTTTGAAATAGAGTTCTTGGCGTGCAAAATGTATACCTTTCCTCAAAAAATGCTGGACAATCTACTTTGTTTAGAAGAAGAATGGGGTGTAGCCCATATTTTAAGGCTCTAGCAAGTACGAACTTGGTCTGTGCAAGCGGACCTTCCCCAACATCAACAACTAAAATTGCACCCTTGACTATACCAACAACCCGCTCAACTTCACAACCGAAATTGGCATGCCCAGGCGTATCAACCATGTTTAACTCATTCTCCTTCCGTGGAATTGGTGCGACCTTGGAGGCGATGGTAATTCCGTGCTCGCCATAATTTAGTGGAGAACACCAATCAAAAAAATTCTCTTTGACTTCTTCATCGTTACTCGTTGTAAATTGGTGGCGAATTCCAATCGACGAAACTAGTTTCTTTGACAGTGTGCTCTTCAAACAGATTGTAAATCACAGCCATTGTCTTCAACCGCAACGGATAACCTGGCTCTGATACCACTTGACGCAGGAAAGAACCAAAGGTCTCGAGGAGACAGGGATATATGACTTGGGAATCACTCAACCAGGGGCAATGGAGCTCATTCACGTCGCTAATCGTGGATGCCCTCACACAACCAAGCCAAATGCTTGATTTTAGAAGGAGAAATCACTCTCTTCAAATGCACGAGGCAAATATAAATTTTCATTCGTCCAAGTCTTCCTCCCGCATCATCTCCCCGTTGTCATCCTTGGCCCCACAAGTGCAATCAACGGTCCAGATTTCAAGTCCTCTCTCCTTCCGGAAACGGTTCAGCCCAAGTTTTGCAAGGCATCTACCTTTCAATCGAATTGAGCCACATGATCCAAGCAGAAGTTTTACTGTAAATGAATCCTTTATAGAGTTATATCCAAGCAATTCCTCTACTTCAAACCTCTTAAACATGGCATATACTTCCTGAAAGGCTGTAGTCGCTTCCTTTTTAAGGTCGGCAACTGTCGCATTCAGGGGCAATACAACAAGTTCCGGAGGCAGGACAAAATCATCTTTGGATTCATCTGAAAGCTCCACATGACACCAGAGATGAATGCCAAGGGAGCCTTCCTCTGCCATTTTATAAGGCCTATAGTCCTTTACGAATTGCTTGCAATCAAGAAGCTTAGTTGCAGCTTCAATAATGCGTTCCTTCATCACTTGAGGGGTATAGCTTAGCATGGTGTCCGGGTGGAGAATGGAATCATATAAAAATTTGAGGTCACAAAGGATTTGCTCTTCTGATGGAAAATTCAAATCCGACTCAGATCCATCAACATTTTGAACACTTGATGACTCAAGCCTGTTACCATAATTAATGTCAGGTCAGGACTCAACGAATGCGTAAGTTGACAAAAGCAACTGAACCAAACAACGGCGGTCTCTTATTACCTGTATTCTAGGTCAACTGAAGTGGGACTGCATCGGGCCTTAACTACCATACCATTGGGTGCCAACTTCCCTCCCAGGTGTTTCAGGCAGTAATCAAGAAGCTCCAAAGAGGAGTTCTTGTACAACGCACCCCTGAGAGCTCGTTTTGACACCCAACTAAACCCACCAGCACCAACTGCTGCAAGCAGCAGCTTGATACTAGCTTGCTGCACATGTTCGACATCATTGGCCGTCCAGGCACATAAGGCCTTGGAAGGGCGCTGCTGATCAGGTTTCTTCTTAGATGATGTATGCTGGCGGGCTCTATGGATGAGACTCAACATATAGGTAAAAAGGTCCTTGATTGTTAGGAGTTGGATATCCGGTAACGATTGGTAAAAGGCAATAACAGAGTGGAGGCGAGTCCGGGGTTTCCTTGGTTGGAATATAAAAGGGTCTAGAGGCAAGCTAGACAGAGTATCCACTGCCTGTTGGTAGGAATGTTGAGTGAGAGCATAGCTCCCAGCACCCAAATTCATAACCCCAAATGCCATACCAAGAACGGCCGCTGGTGACAGCGTGCAGCATCCGGTACTCCATCCCGTACTTCTTGGACACATCCATCACACTAACTGTCCTGTCGAATGTATTTCAAAATGCCACATAAGTAATGCAATTCAGTTTCCCCTGATCTCCAAATTCAAACATAATTTGCAAAATAATATAAAAAGGTAAAAGGAAAGAATTAAGGACCTGACGGAGAGGGCTAGACAAAGCCTATCCCAAAAGTCCAAAATATGACGGGGAGAGAGAATGGCGGAGCCACCTTGTCTGCCGTTGAGGGTAAGAAGGTGGGCGAAGCCATTGGAGTGAATGACGGCGTGGAGGATGTGAGTGTTGTCATGAAGCTGAAGATACGCCCACTCTTCCACATCTTCCGTCTCAGCCGTCGTGGCGGTGGCAATAATAGAGTTGCACCACTTGCTACCGCCGTTGCTCTGCGTCTGATCACTCTCACCGCCATCAGCCCCTCTTCTTATTATGAAGTGGTATAGCTTCTTGCACACCGGATGCCCACTCCAACCTTCATTGTTTGTCGTTTTGCCAAACGAAACGTTAAGTTAAACACTATCCAAAGTATTCTCATAAACGTTTCCAAAAAAAAAAAAAAAAAAAAAAAGTATTCTCATAAACATAACTATTAATAAATTAATAACAGAGAGATGAGAGAGAGAGTGAGAGGGTGGGTGAGTGGACTCACCAACCACTCGGCACTGGTCGCAGTAGACGGATCGTCTGGAGCGGGTGACGTCCTCCTCCACGACGTCCAAGGGAAGCACAACGGTCCGGTCCCCCAGATGCATTACCCGGAGTCGGCGGAGTGAGATCTGCGACGTCACCAGGGTAGGGAACAGCGAGGAGGATGGGCACGTGACATGCGCGTGACGAATGAGGAAGCGGCGAACGCTGTCGCGGAAGGGCAGGATGAGTGCGAACGACGAATGGAAGATGATGAGGCTCAGACACCGCGAGGGGGGGTTTGACGGGATATAGGGAGAAGGATGTGCGGGAATTGGGTTTTCTATTTTTTTTTTTTTTTTGTCGGTTTAAGGTTTACGTATGGGGGTTTTCGGCCCCCCGGGGGGGGTGGTTTGGGGTGATGGGATCTAGTTTTCTTAACTTTTTTTTTTTTTTTTTGAAGATTTAGGTAAAAAAAAAAAAAAAAAAAAATTTGTCACGTGGCAGAGATTTGGTAGCCACGTGGCATATATGTGGCAGCCACGTCAGCACTTAACGGATCAATTGATGGAAAATGTAACGGATGTATTATTTTGAAATAAAATAGTACTTAAGGTATGAAAGTGAAATGTTTTGAAGATATTGTAAGGAATTGAAATAGGCTACAAACCTGAGGTATGAAAATGTAATTTACCCTAATAAAATTGAGAAAACATACCTCAAATTTTTATCGATTCTCTCTAGCTTGCCCCGCTCTCTCTCTATGCTTTTGCCTTTTCTATCCCCACTTTCTCACTTTCTTTTTTTCTATTTTTTCAGTTATTATGTTAATTATTTTATTTTTACATTCCCATTTGTATTTTTATTTATATTTTAAGTGAAAAAAAACCAAAGTTATCTATAGTCACTTATTATTACAATTTAGTGGTATTTCTTTTCATTTGTAACTAAGAGGTCTTAAGTTCAATTCTTGCCAAATTCGAATTTAAACATATTATTGTTAGCTTATTGTGAGGCTAAACATATCATTCTCCCCTTAGTGTAGATAATATCATTTGTTCAAAAAAAAAATCCCCAAGGTCCTCTATCATACATCGTTAAAAACCTCTAACATATATATAAAGTCATTATATATAAAGTCATTTAATTTTTCAGAAGAATAAACATTATAATTTCACACACCACAAAAAAGTTAAAAATTTGAAATACTATTTCCCCACCCAGTGCTTTTACTAAAATCATCTCTAATATATATTTAAATTATTTGTTAAAACCTGAAATGCTTTCATTTATATTGGTAGCTATCATAGAAGTGAAACATCATCAATGATAATCTAATTCCAATTCTATATTGCATCCATGTATGCATAGTGGACCAAAAACTTCAAGCCTCCTAATTTCATGAGATCGTTGAGTTAGCGATCAAGTAGGGATGCATTTGTGTCATGTCATTCCTCATTTAGGGAAGTGAATCCTATGAACTAAGTGATTTGTCACGCATCTAGACAAGGACAAATGATTGGCTAGGTGTCGAGATACTTGGTTGTCCACTAGGGGGGCCAATCATCCTTTAATGCGACACACCCTTCGGGGTTGTTAACTTGATGTCTGTTATGTATGTCTATCCTTGCAAGTATATTTGCAGCTGGTATATGATCTCGTCACTTTAGTTAGATTAGAGAAATATATATGGAGCAACGTTTTGAAAGCTAGAATATATCGCAATTGCTTATAATACTTAGGCGGTATTGGAATCAAGATAAGACATAGTGGGCAACGTCCACGCTAATTCGCGTCATTTTGATCGTTTTATCTCCTTTTAACGGCTGGAGTACTGTCTCGTCGAAAGGACAATCCGCAAAATATAAGCGGTAAAGAGATCTCTTGAAAGGGCTATGTTGGAACTAAATTTGTGCACATCCGCAGACGGAGGCGAAATCTAGTTAAAATTACCCATGAACTTCGGCTATGGGAGAATGGGATTGACTGGGTGTGAATAAATCCAGATCGGACTGCTTACATATCTCTATGATTGCATGGTGTAGTTCTAAGAAGGAATTGGGTGATGTGTGCAACATCGTGAACCATCCTTGACGAATTGCCTATGGCAAGGTATGTATGATATATTTCTCCATGTCTACGCACAGACGAATGGCGTGTAGAAAATATGTGCATGTTGCAGAGTATATCCATCGTCATAGAGAATATATCCTTAGAAGGACTTAGATGCCCTAGGAGATAACTTGCTTATCTTTTGAATACCGAATCTAGACCCGTCTAATTATTAGTTGGTGCGTTCATTATATTTAATTAAAAGTTTGTTCAATGTTTTCAAGTTCATGATTAGTATAAAATAAGTTCATGCATAGTTTTAAGTCATGGTTATGCATGATTATAAATAAGGGCATGGAAGGTTGTTCCATGCCTAGACTATTTAAAACTCTACTTATGTACGGAAATGGAGGATTCAGAAATTGAAAATTACTTTTAAGCTTGGTTTAGTGAAGAGTGCTTCTTCCTATCCTTGAACTTTTATCTCTTTGGTGGATTCATTCGAGTGGCGAGTTGTTTATCTTTAAGTGTTCACTTGTGGTTCCTCTTTGATCTCCATTATTTTGTGTCATTTGGTTAAGTATATTTTACTCAAGTCTTTAATCGTGTTAAAGTGAAACAGTTAGAAGTTTTCACAATTTGGTTCCATTTCACGGAATATAATTTAATATGACAATCTTTCCGAAGTAAACCAAATCAGAGTAATAATTAACGAAGTCAAACACAAATAACTTTGTAGGACCGAGACGGAGCTCTAGGCCCCTTGACAACATTTAAGTAGTAAACATTACCTTTTAAACTTAGCATTTATAAAGATTTTCATCACGGTAATAAAGTGCCACCCTACTCTGATAGGTCTAAGACCCATGAAAAATCTTTTGCCTCAAACTTGTTCTATGCATTGATTGTATTAAGGATGAAAAAGTGACCAATTACGTCTAGAACGGCTTATAGATCTTAACTAGAAATATGGCCCGCGCGTTGCTGCGGGATTAGAAACCGTATGGAAAAATATGTTTCAAAGCAATAATATATTGTTACAGAATGTTAATGTCATCTACGCTGAAAGATGTTTCAGCTTTTTGAAAGAATTTTTATATGAAGAGCATAAATTGGGTGAATGAAGCTCTTGGAATTCTTTGAACCACTCTATGAATAGCATTACTTGTGAATGATTGATTGTGCAATAAAAATTAGTAAAAGAGTGTAATAGATGAAATTTTCATATGTATAATTCAAACTTCTACACATTTATCCATATTTACCAATTGTTAGAAACTGCTAAGATAACAATTGGTATCACATAATTGGTATGCTATTAACATAATGAATTCCGTTAAGCAAAAAAATGATATGCAATTTTAACTTATGATGCTAAAGAAGCTTTATAAGAGTAGCCGGGTCCTCTGTGCTTTATCCATTAAAGGCATTGCAATTGTAGATCCTGAAAGCTATAAAAATCCATCTAGTCAAGAGACAAAATTCAATAGTTATGGGTAAGGTGAATATGGAACCACGAATGTAAGATATACTTGACAAATTTGCAAATTCATTACAATTTGATAAAAAGTACTAAAACTCAAGATCTTAAATTCATAAAATATCCAAAATTTGATAAGTCCTGTCAAAATAAGTATTCATCACAACAATAGCATTGAAATTGAGTTCTTTTGTTGCCAACGTTTTTCCAACAACCAAACAGGTGAAAGTATAAATAATGAAACAATCAATTCAATCAAAGACATTGAATTCAATCTCTATGACAACAAAGAAGACAAACAATCGATATCGTCGTAGGTGATTTTAATTGAAACGAAGAACGTTGTCTAACATAGTTGGACACACGTGATATGAAATCTATCATCTATGTATCCTGCACAATATTATGGAAGTAGCAAAAACCAATCCTCAAGGATGACAGTAAAATAATAAGAAGCAGCAGCCTACTGTCAAGTAAGGATTTCAGTTCATACAACTTCAATCAGGCACAGGTTTAAAGTATTGAAACAGCCAGTGGTTCATATAAATCTTCTTTTCATCACTTTCAAGTTTCAATCAGCTATGCATCACCACATTTTGGCCATTAAATATGGGTAAACATTATTATGCCCTAACTTGAGTTAACCGGGTCATTTTTATCATCTACACTCTTGCATGGCACATGGAATTGAGTTTTAAATAGCCTACACAAATTTTCAATTCAGAAATCTTCACTTGTAAGTTGTAACACCTTCAATTAAGAGACAACAGTTACTAAAAAACTGTCGTGGTGAATTCTTAATGGTTTTGAAAAGAATTTTCCCTTCATCCAAGCTAGCACCTAAGTTCCAGTCTTGCACCCAGGTTGAAAAAAATCAGAGGTGCATTTGAGCAGAAGTTAATGAAAATTGTAGTACCTAAAATAACAGATGCATGGTTCAGTACAAATAATCACATAGATCAGCAGTCCCATAGGGAATCATTTAAAAATTATATCATATAACCGAAATTAAGGAACTGGAAGTAAACCTTTGCTTGACGAAGCTCATATATTTCTAGGAATAGCTGCTTTGAAAGCTCTTCCAATGCTAGCACTTCTGCTTCCATGTTTCTGATATCCGTGTAACCGAAAAGAAAAGGGGAAGGGAAAGGGGAGGAGATAAGTGAAATAAGACAACTATGACGTCCTTACAGAGTAATTGCACTATGTTGATGGTCTGGAAAGCTTAATACGATAACATATCTATTAGGTCTCAATGCATGCAAATAACATCGCTAGAGAAGTATTAGAGCAACTCCAGCGTGGGAGTTTGCTCGAGGGACAGGCTAGGAAAAAGGGCCTGAGAGCCCGGCCCACACACTCCAACGTGGGGAGCTCAAGGGACAGTGGAGGCCCGAGCATCGGGCCAGTGAGGAATTGCCAGCCTGCAAGCCCGAAGTGGATCTGACGCAGGGCTGACGTCTGGATTTTTTATTTTTTTCTGTCAGGTGCGTGCACCTCACCAGCGCGTGGGGGTGCGTCACCCGACATGGTTTCAATGCTTGGGGCCCACGGTGCAGTTTCAAAAAGCTACCGTTGGGAAGCCACATGGCGTCCCATGGTCCGTTGGATCTCAACTGGCTATACAATGTGGACCGTCTGATTTGCAACCGTAAAAAAAATAAAAAAATCTTATTTAATATCAACCGTTGGATTTGAGATTAATGGTTGATATTATTCTCCTTTAAAATTAAAATTAAAAAAAAAAAGAAAAATAGTTTTAAAATTCAGAAATGTTACCGCTATGCCACGTGGCACAATATGGAGTGTTGGAATTCAATTTTTTTTTAAATCCAATGGCAGAGATTAATTAGTTGAATAAAAAAAAATTTAAAATTGTAAA